ACCGTCAGTATTTAACGTGGTCCAACCAGATGGGGTAGGCTGCCTGAGATCTACTTTAGTTTTTTTTCTGAACATGAACCAGCAACAATTTGTCAACATTTTTTATTTTATTTGACACCGTTAATTGAACCGATGAAACGATTATCTTTTAGTTAATAGTAACTAAATAAAAAGGGTAAAATATATTAATGGTCTCTCAATTATAAGGTGGTGTTAATTGAAGGTGATAAAATTTGATATTAAAATTACTTTATATCATCAAGTCAATACTTCAAATATTATGTCATTGAATCAGAACTGAAAAAAAATGACGGTGTTAGCAGATATCATTAAAATATAATTTTTAACATATCTTTCCCATTATAATTTAGGGTAAAGTATAGCAATGGTCACTGAACTTTTCTAAATATTTCATTTAGGTCCCCTAACTTTTAAAACTTGTAATATAGTCCTTTAACATTTAGTCCGTTTGAATAATATGGTTCCTAACAGTTACGTCAAGGACCATATTACAAACGGACTAAATGTTGTGGGACCATATTGCAAATGAACTAAATATTGGGGGATTAATATGTTTTAAAAGTTAAGAGACCTAAATGAAAGCTTTAAAAAAATTTAGTGACCATTACTATACTTTACCCTAAAAGTAATTTTGAGAATAGGATTTTGGAAATGTATTGTTAATGATAAGGATATGATATTTTGTTTAATTTATTTGATAGTAATGTTTTTTATTGAAAATATATAAAATTATATAAAAATAAATTTTATCAAATTGAATCTATGGTTTATATTTTTTAGTTATTTAAATTTTTATATTAAATTAAAAATATTTACATAAAATTCATACAATTAATTTTATCATGTTATCTAAATGTTATAAAAAATATTATATTTACCATATTACTAATATAATTATTATATTAAATAACGTTAAAAATTTTACATAAATAAGTATTTTGTATTCAATTTGATATAGTATTAAATTGATTATTTTCATAATTAAAAACTTGTTTAAGTTAATAAATCATTAATGAGAGTGATAATCTCTATTTTAAATTAATAATTAATAATTTATGGTGAGCAATTCAGGGGAGTGAGAATGGAACAGATTTCAGCACCTATTACCGGTGCAGATCTGATCCTGCTACGCTTAGCAGCAATCAAAGGACCAGGAGCTATAGCCGCGGAACATACAATAGGATAGAAAGGCACTGCCAATCACCTTTTCTCGATCAAATCAGCATATGGGTTAAGACTTGGATATTATGGAAGACAATAAATTTAGGGGATTGCGAAGATTGAAATCTTCATATGGCTTGCATTTAAGAACAAAATCACGACGAACGCGGAATGAGTCCGTAAACACTTCACGACGACAGTAGATGTCCCGTTTGTGCAAAGGCCCCTGAAGACGTGAACCATGTGTTGCGCTGGTGCTCACAAGCGTTAATCATTTGGATGGCACTAGTTAAATCGGACAAAATATGGGAATTCTCTCCATAGAGATACAGCCCTGGGTTTAAACAACCTTTCCAACCCAAGCTATTTTGAACAGAACTGGAACATATTGTATGGATCGATTCTGTGGAATCTATGGATCAATAGGAATGCAATGGCGTTTGGCTCTCCAACGGAAGAAGCTGGGACAGTGCTTGAGAAAAGTCGCAGACTTCAAGCGTGGAGCATTAAAGATTATAACCCCGATGCAGCAGGTAAGAAAACACCACACCAAGCCCTTGGTCCCGACCACCGGCAGATTGGTTAAAGGCCAACACTGATGCAAGTCGGAGTTTGGTAGACTGCAGCTCATCATGTGGAGGCGTAATAAGAGACCACGATAGTAAATAGATATTAGGTTTTTACAAATACATTGGAATATGCTAAACTCTTGAAGCAGAGCTCTGGGGTATATATACCGGATGATTTGTGCCCGAAACCTGGATATCACACAGCTGGAGACAATCTTGACGCTATTAACCTACTGCAGAACAAGAAGGATCCGCAAGTTGTGCCGAGTATCACTCTACATATCCAGAAGTTGTGCAAGTATCCAATTGATGATTTGCCCAAGGTGACTGTTATTTCTAACATTGACGAATTCATTTATTTAAGATGTAAACATGAGCAACTATTTTTACATTCGTAAATGTCCTAAAACTGAAGTACTCATCTCCCAATAAATATATGTATTTTCCATAAATATGATCCGAGTTTGTGTTTTATGAGCATGCCAACAAGAATTTGCTAGTCTAAAGACCAGAATTTAGCACCATCTGAATTTTTTACGAGTCAAATATCTATAGTTTTTTTTATCATTTGAATCTGAATTTATAAAGGGATAAGATCTTGTTACACAGTGTAAAATTCTTTAGTTTTATATAGATTTTCACTCATCAAACGATCCTAAATATGTATAAAACTAAAGAGTTTTACATTGTGTAAGTAGATCCTAACCCATTATAAATTTATTTTTATTTATAAATCATTTAAATATTATTATTTAGGGTAAAGTATAGTAATGGTCACTAAACTTTTCTAAAGCTTTTATTTAGGTCCCCAACTTTTAAAACTTGCAATATAATCCCCTAACATTTAGTCCGTTTGCAATGTGGTCCCTCAACATTTAGTCCGTTTGCAATATGGTCCCCGACGTAACTGTTGGGGGACCATATTACAAATGGACTAAATGTTGGGGGACTGTATTGCAAGTTTTAAAAGTTGGGGGACCTAAATGAAAACTTTAGAAAAGTTCAATGACCATTACTATACTTTACCCTATAATTTATACTCAAACAAGAAAAAGTCGTATATATAATTACGCTTCATTATCATCTTTTCTCACATTTATTTAAATCATATAAAAAAATTAACATTTATCAATGAATTATATATTTTATATAATATTAATTTTAAAAATATATAACATGATTTAAATAAAATAACATATATTAACGTGACAGAAATGTTTAGTATAATCTTTTTACGCACTTTTATTTTTTAAATTATATTGTTAAATGAAATTTTATTTGTGTTTGTAAGATTAAGTTTAATTTTATTATAAGTAAAATTTAAATTATTTTAATGTGACTTTAAAACGGGTAACATTTATATAAATGCTTGAATTGGAAGTTCAAGTACTCGTCTTGAAGGATTCCCAATTTCTTTTTATATATAGTATACCCATTTATATTAGCCTAGCAATCACATTTATACATTTATCAATAATAGAATTTTATTTTATTTAAATTTATTTATATGAATAACGAATACAATATAACTATTGAATTATCTCCGCTCTTTGTATCAGATAACCGAGGAGATCCTGGAGAACAAGGAGTTGGAGTGTTATAAATGGGATGGTGACCTTTCCCAGCTGTTATAAAATGTAAAGGATAAGCTGAATAAAGTTGCTGAGGTAATATTCTTTGATTTGTTGCACAGTTTTCCCTTCTCTCTTTATTTTTAACAGTTGTAAATCTTATGAATAACACCTATATATTCACCTATGATGATTCAGAACTGGTCTAGAGATAACAAAGACCGTTGTTTGGAGGAAACCCAGAAATCATTCAAGTTTTACAGGGACATCCATCGACTCATTTTGTTATAATTCCTACCTGTTTCGTTTGCCGCGGTCTTCAAAGATCAAATATTAGCGCTACCCAGAAATGACATGTTAATCCCGATTAGACCATGTCCTTGAAAAACTCGAATAAATTTATGATACGTAATATCAATAAAATTTTCTGCCAGAAATGCTTTCATATTATCTGTCTAAATGGTTCTGTTTCGGTGTAAGTTCCGATAATTTAGACTCAACCTATGCTAATATGGACTTCCCACAAACGTAAAGCATTGGCATGTTCACAGAAGAAGCAAAACGAGTTACAAAAGAAGATCCTGAAATTTTCAGCTTACTTTTTTATCACACCAGTCATCAAATGTTCTCATAAATCCCACTAATAAAGTCAGGTATTCCATAACAATTGCCACGTAAAATCTCCATTCTACCATGCAACAAAGAATGCACCAACTGTATCAAGCTGGAATTGCTAATGATGCCACAGGATTCGTCAACGGAACAGTGGAATACTATGCGATTAATTAACTAAAATATAACTCTACTAAGATTTTTGATGGTGCGTTCGTATTTCGTAAGACACATAATAATTGGTGCATTAGGGCATGAGAAGTGCCTATATCTTAGAATATATATAGTGTTCTTTACATTCATCAATCTTAGGATTTGCAGACGACAAGAGAGGAAAACGACCAACTCATGCAGTCAGTAGTCCGCTCGGGTTTGGAACCACTACTGTTTCCATTTCTACAATTGGGAACGATGGGTTGAATGGTAGATAAGGCCCAGTACTAGATGTCAGTTATCTAGAAGTATTTTTTTTCACAATAATAATAAGATTCATTTCATAAAGAAAAGCAACAAATAAAATCAAGGCCCAATAAACCTAACAATAAATCCTAACTATATTACATAACAATTTTAGACAATACAAACCTTAATATAGTTGCTTTATCGCATTGTATGAATATTGTGATTCAACGATTTCAAAAACCGTTATAATTATGGACACAATTTAGCATGCGGCATAACATCTCCAAAACTGACGTGAATATTCCGCCTAAAACATCGCCAATGTCGTCAAAGTAACCACCACCCAATAGACGGCACAGATCAGATGCAAAGATATAAAAAATCTTATATATAAATAAAGATCCAAACCGACGAGAGACCAAGGCGATGAAAACGCCAACCAATAATAAACTCAAGGGAAAAAACCATAAATAGTATGTTTCACTGATGGTTGCACCACAAGAAGAAACAAAGGACAGAAAACGTGGGGACAAGACAAATCCCCTGAGCCAACTAAGACCAAACCTACCACCATCCCATCTGAGAAAGTGAACGCTCGGCGGACTCAGAAATAATTCCATCTTCAGTTTATTCGATTACAAAGAAAGGGATCAAAGGCTTCAAAATGGAAGTTATAAACAGGTACATTGCAATCAAGAACCACGCAAACGATGCGCCACAAGACTCTGATTTCAAGCTCAAGTCTTCACCACTTACTCTTTCCATGGACCCTGGCTCCGATGAATTCATTGTCCGAAATCTCTACGTTTCAATCGACCCTTTCCAGTTAAACCGCATGAAAAGCTATAGCTCCTCACAAGAGAGTTCAAAAAATGCAGTCGCCATTATTCCGGGTGAGGTAAAATTAGTCAAACCAACCCACTTCAGTTAAAACAATCTGCTCAACTATAAATCTCTGTGGACCATTATTTTCTTTTTTGGAACAGGCTATCAATACTTACGGTGATAGCAGAGTTGTGGCTTCTGAGAACTCGAAATTTGAAAAGGGTGACATTGTCACCGGCTTCCTCAACTGGGAAGAGTTCACGGTCGTAAAAGCCGGTGGCATGCTGAACAAGCTCGACCCCATGGGCTTTCCCTTGTCTTACCATGTTGGAATTTTGGGTAAACCACAATTTCTTTTTTTCTCATCTTTGATGTTGAATTATGTGTCATAACCATTTTTTTGTAAAACAATTAAATATTATTTTTAAAACGATTATGAATTTTATTTTGAAAAATTGAGTATTTTGGATTAATTTGGATTAAATTGAATAGAGTCGCCATCGACCTTTGGGTTAGGTAGGTCGAATACCTAAAAACGTCTTTTTAAAAGAAATTTAAGAAAAATCATTTTTTAGACAAAAATGGTCTACATTTACCAGAAATCAAATTTAACGGGTTCGGGAGTCGGTTACGTGTGGGGAAGGGTAAGCACCCCCACAGCGCCCAAAAATGGTACTGTGTCGCTTACACATTGTCGTAAATGATGGAAAGTATGAATCGAATATAAAATTAAATTATGATCCATTTATTGAATATTAATTTTCTTCAAATAATTATTAGGGAAAATTCTTTAACTTGAAAAGAAACATCGATATTAGCAATCCTCCGTCGGGAAAACTAACTCGAATATTTCTTATCAATTAAAGAATATTCCCTCCTCATTTATATTAAAAATGCAAATCGAATATAAATAAAAAAAAATGACATTTACATAAATTGATTAACTAAAAATGAATCATATATAAATTAACAAAATTGGAATTTACATTAACATAAAATAAAGTAAATTGTCACTTAAAATAACACGAATTGCATCATTTGAACAAATTAATTAGTAAAATATACTCGACTTATTTCAAGTTCCTATGTCGTTAAAATGTCGTACCGGATCGCACCACTTCGTCCAAATGGTACTTTCCACGCTCATTCTACGCATACATGTTCTTGAAAATAAAATCAAATATTTCGTACATACATAAGAATATAATGAGAATAAATGTAATTGGAAATACAAATATTTACATTAAGTGGAATTAAACACATTATTTACATAATACAAATAACCATGTAATATGTAAAATACATTCATATACAAATGACTAAAATAAAAATAAATAAACATTACAAACCAAAATAAAATACAAAAGTAAGTAATTAAGGGACTAAAACAAATTAAAACATAAATGCGTAAGGGCAAACAATAAATTTACCTAAAGTATTCATACTAAAACATTGACCATAATGTAAACAAAGTAAATTAAAAATACTAATTAAAATAAAGAAAGGTAACATTCAGTGACTGAAATGAAACACTTGTAAATATTAAAACCAGAATCGAACATAAACAAAAATATTATGATATATAGCATGAGGGACCGAACAATAATTAAACCAAATACCCAACAGTGACTAAAATGTAAAATACATAAATATCCTGTCCAAATTCAAACATTCACAAAATTACACAACACACGAAATTAGTGACTAAAATGAAACTATTACAAACATGGGACCAAAGTCAAATATCCACAAAAATGACATAACAACATTAATAGGACTAAATAAAATATTTATAAATGTGATGGCCAGATTCGAATATCAAAGAAACATACATGAATATTAAATCAGTGGCTAAGATGTAACATTTATAAATACTGAAACCAGAACCAAATATAAACAAAAATGTTATAATACCTAGGATAGTGACTAAAATGTAAAGTGAAAAGATAAAGGCTCAAATTGAAATAATGTAAACTTCATTCCATGGCTAAATCGTGCGGTTACAAAGTATCAGGGACCAAAAGCGTGGTTTACCCCTTTCATGCTAAACACGCAACCCTGAACCCTTTTACACGACGTCGTTTTGGGTCCATCATAACCCCAAAATAAGGGTTTCGAAACCCTTGTTCTCATTCTCAGCCGCTCTCATCTCTCAAAACAGAGAGAAAACAAAGCTCTCAAGGTTCCCTCCTTCTCCCTCGTCGCAACCACAAAACAGAGGCTCCCCGGCCACCGTATCGGTGGCCATGGGGAGCAAACCGACCCCTAAAGACCCTCAATCCTCTTTCTTCCTCATTTCCTTTGAAAGCCCAACCCTTCACCCCAAAAAAAACCGAGAACCCCTTTTAATCCAAACCTAGATTCAAGAAAAAAAAAGAACGTTTTACCTTCGATTCAGGGTTTTCAAGCTCTGGTGAGGTTGATAAGGGATAAATCTACAAGGGTAAGACTTTCTTTTTTTCTTTCTCTCTATGTTATTTTCTTTTTTCGAATGCTCTCTATATTTTTTTTTGTTATCACCGAATGCCTCATATATCCCCCTCTTTGGTCTTTTATCTTTCCTTTTTGCTTGTTGGATTTTTGTTGAGATGATGATGTCTAGAAAAGAATAGGATCAGTCCAGACTTAGGAATGGGTTTCTGATTTAGGGTGATAGGATCTCGGGTTTTCGGGATTATAGGGATTTTTTTATTTGATTTGGGTTGATTTGGGACTGATGGGGTTGCTGTGGTTTACTGTAGATGACTGTGGGGGCCTTCGGTCACTGTGGATGCAGGCAGCCGGCGTCAGAGGCTGTCGGCGAGGGGACGCTCGGCTTGAACGGCTGCTAGAGATGAGAAGTTGAAGGCGGCGGCTGAGCCTTTAGGGGATTAGGGTTGATGATGATTTAGGGTTTTGAAACCCTAATTTTGCATGATCTGGACCGTTGGATGGGTCCAGATCCAACGGCCAGAAATGAGGCGGCTGGACCATTGAGATGAAACCCTAGCTGGGTTGTCAAGTGGGCCTGGGATTGGTATTGGGCCTGAACCGGGTCTGCTCCAGCTTGTTGGGTATGCTGTGGGCTTAAGGATTAGGCCTGCAAAAATTTGTAAATGTAAATTAAATAATAATAATAATAATAATAATAATAATATAATAATAATAATAATAATAATAACGATAATAATATACAAAAAAAAAAGACCCGGACAAAAACGGGTGTCTACAGCTGCCCCTCTTTGCACATTCTTGTGTTAACAAGAATAGGGCAAAGACGACAATACAACACGTTTTTGTCTGGTTCTCTTTCATTTTCCTATAAATCGGATAATGTTGGTTGTTGGGGATGCCACTGCTCATACGTGATGAAGAGTTCGGGTCGTCTAAGGGTGACATGGTTCCTACGTGATGAGGAAATCTAGTCGAGGGTTGACACTGCTCATACGTGATGAAGAGTTCTGGCCATCTAAAGGTGATAACATGGTTCCTACGTGATGAGGACGGCTGGTTATCTAGGGTGACACGGCTCATACGTGATGAAGAGATCTGGTCAGGGAATGACACGGCTCATACGTGATGAAGAGTTCTGGCCATCTAAAGGTGATAACACGGTTCCTACGTGATGAGGACGGCTGGTTATCTAGGGTGACACGGCTCATACGTGATGAAGAGATCTGGTCTGGGGATGACACGATTCCTACGTGATGAGGACGGTTGGCCATCTAAAGGTGATAACACGGTTCCTACGTGATGAGGACGGCTGGTTATCTAGGGTGACACGGCTCATACGTGATGAAGAGATCTGGTCTGGGGATGACACGATTCCTACGTGATGAGGACGGTTGGCCATCTTAAGGAATTATGGTTTCAAGAGAAACCAAATTAAAGATTTGTTTCAAAAGAAACAAACCCAAAGATTCGTTTCAAGAAAAACAAACTCAAAGATGATGTGTTTCAAAAGCAACTGTCTCCAAAGAGACAAAATTTTGTTTCAAAGGAAACGACTCAAAGATTGTTTAAAGGAAAACTGTCTCAAATGAGACAAAATTCGTTTAAAGGGAAATGATCTCAAAGATGTTTGTTTTGTTTCAAAGGAAACAGACTCAAAGATGGTGAATTTTGTTCCCAAAGAAACAAACTCAAAGATTTTTCTCAAAAGAAACTGTTTTAAGGGATAAAACCTGGTTTCCAGAGAAACAAACTCAAAGATGATCTTGTTTTAAGAGAAAATGTTTCAAGAGACAAAATTCGTTTGAAGGGAAACGACTCAAAGATGTCATTGAAAGGAAACTGTCTCATGCGAGACAAAATTTGTTTTAATAGAAACGATATCAAATGTGGGTATTTTCAAAAGAAGTTGTCTAAACGATCTCAAAGGTGGGTATTTTCAAAAGAAGTTGTCTCGAGAGACAAAATTTTGTTTCAAAGGGAACAAACTCAAAGATTTTTTTTTTCAAAAGAAACAATCTCAAAGATTTTTTCACAAAATTGTCTCAAGAGAGACAAAACTTTGTTTCAAAGTAAATAGACTCAAAGATTTTTTCAAAAGAAATTGTCTTTAAGAGATAAAATTTTGTTTCAAAAGAAACAGACTCAAATGATGGATCTCATCTTAAGTGAGACCAAATTTGTTTCAAATGAAACACTCTCAAAAGTTAGTTTTTCATTAGAAACCGTCTCAAGAGAGACAACATTTGTTTTTAAAGAAATTGACTCAAAGATGATTTTGTTAAGAGAAACAAACTCAAAGATTTTCAAAATGAACATATTCAAAGATTTACTTCAAAAAGAAACGGTCTCAAGAGATACAAAATTCATTTTAAGAGAAACAGATTTAAAGATTTTTTTCAAAAGAAATTATCTTAAGAGAGACAAAATTTTGTTTCAAAAGAAACAAACTCAAAGATTTTTGTTTCAAAAGAAACTATCTTAAGAGAGAAAAAATTTTGTTTCCAAAGAAACAAACTCAAAGATTTTTCAAAAGAAACGACTCAAAGATATTTATTCAAAAGGAACAAACTCCAAGATTTTTATTCAAAAGGAACAAACTCAAAGATTTTTTTCAAGAGAAACTGTCTCAAGAGAGACAAAACTTTGTTTTAAAATAAATAGACTCAAAGATTTTTTCAAAAGAAACAACTCAAAGATATTTATTCAAAAGGAACAAACTCCAAGATTTTTATTCAAAAGGAAAAAACTCAAAGATTTTTCAAGAGAAACTGTCTCAAGAGACAAAAATCGTTTTAAAAAATATTGTCGATTTTGTTTATATGGAAATAATCTCAAGGGTGTTTTCAAAAGTGTTTATTTTGTTTCAAATGAAACAATTTCAGGATTTGTTAAAAGGGAAAACTGTCTCGTGCGAGACAAATCAGCTTTGAAAATCTCAA